AAGCAACTGTTTGCCCTCCTCGCTGTATAATGTTACTAAGTGAGCACTATTACAATATATGTTCCCATCCAGGAGGAGTCTTTCGGAAAATAAGGATGTCGAATTGTGTGAAATACATATACCGTCTAGAAAGTACGTTGGAATTCACCACATTCAACTAACCTCCACCTCTGGTCGCCGGTTGAAGCATCAAAAGAAATGTTGCGAATCGTTCTCCATACCTTCTTCTCCATATATTCCATTGTTCCGGCGAATTGTACTGAATATAGTCCCAGTGCGGTGCGTAGTGTCCTCCAGAGTGGTAGGAAAGAATCTGAACCGTTGAAAACGTTTCATACTTCAGTAACTGTGTATATACATTCAGCCCTTGCCAGACGATAGGCAGACGAACTTCTAAGGGGGCAGGATGATGCGCTTTGCAGCGAAGCGTATGCCTCTCGCCGTCTGACTCTGACCGCGCAAGGAGAGCGTTAGCGTTGAAGAGGACTGCACCCATGAGAGGTCGCATCAATGCGAAAAACGGAGGGAGAAAAGGTGGCGTTCCTGACGATCTGGTCGTAACTCATGGTTTCTTCACCGTTTCTGCAGCACTGACCACATGTATGTTACTTTCATAGGCTGCCTCTTCATCGTGAACTTCACTTTGATAAGAAGAAATCGGCGTATTGTGGTGTTAAGAAATCGTGCACGGAAACAGCGTGATTAGCTTTATCTTGAAAGGATAACAATAAGAAAAAGGAATTAGCGTGTGTACTGATGAGAAATCCAAATTATTAGATTGATGGAGTTTCCGCAGTAAGACTTTCGCATTGTTGGCGAAGGGAAACCAGCATGTGTAAAGTGTTGTACCATGAATGCTAACGAACCTTTCAAAGATTTGCCCAAACGTTCCGCGCATGTTGCCAGCAGCCTTCTAATGGGTTGAAATTTTGTTTTACCCGTCTCTCGGAGGTTCTTTTTTATTATTTGGGGCTTTTTTATTGTTTAGGTCTTCACTTATGGTCATCTATGGACACATATAATAAAGAGGAAGAACGGGGTTTTCATTCACGATGCCTTGAATGTTCCAATTCCATAACAGAATTACCTGCCATGGCTCGGCGGGACCAAAATTAACGAATGGAATCATTTCCTCAATTCTTCTGAACATTTTCGCGAGTCCCTTAGTTCCCCCGTGGGCAGCAAATGTGCCATTGGCTCGCCTTGATGTAAAATCAACAACATCTTCTGTGCTGGTTTCGTTTACGTCCACCACCGTCTGGAAAATTTGAATTTTAAACGCTATAGAAAAAACATGGACGCGATGACTTCAAATCATAATAAAAATTGCACCGAAGGTGTGGTTGCGTCAGTAGAACCTTTACTCACAGGAGCAATCCCATACGACCCCCTTTTACTATAGTTACTTTTACACTAGCACTTGAAGTAAAGAATAGTAGTTCTAGATACACAAGAAGGATGTCGAGGCAAATAGGGCTGCTGCTCTGGGGAGGCTCCGTGGTTCAGGAGGCTCCGTGGTTCAAATTCCGAAACGGCTGCCTGAATTCTGCTCGAGGATTTCCTATAATACCTTTTCAAATTTTCATATTAATGCAGGATCCGTTCATAAAGATAACACTATATGTTTGAATCGGGCGATTCGGCTGCGTCAGTATGCGATGCTACAATCTTTTTACGGCATTTTTGGATGGGCATTGTCAACTTTGGATGGAAATAGAAAGTCGTGTTCAGCGTTGTATTTCATTGCTCCTATGGAGTCGCAGACTTGCCTGACTTTTTCAAAGACGTCCCACCTGGCAGGATTTCTTCGGCGCCGGACCGCCAAGCAGTCGAATCACATGCGAGTTGAGTTTTCACTATTTGAAAGAGCGCAACTTGCTCATAGATGAGCTGCTAAAATCACAAGAGCAGCGAGACATGTGTTGCGTTGACTGGATTGATTTGCGGAATACCTGCCGCGGAGTATCAAAGAGTTCCCGAGGCAGTAAAAGAATCTTTCGTACGTCGCTAGAGTTTGAAATTTTCTTAAGAAAAAAATCATGAACTACAGAGGAAATACGAGCCTTTCGCTCTACGGGTGCGGATGAAGTTCGAAAGGACGCAGGGATGATGAGAGAGAATGTGACCGCGGGGCGAGCGTGAGAGAGTCGAGTTAGAGAGACCAGTGAGAAAATCAAGATGCGCGGGCAGACAAAAAATCGAGCGGTGGACGGAGGAGTGTGTCTCAACTGGTGGAGCGTACCAAAGTCCTTAGCGCTAGCGTCTTAGTGACGCGTTTTGATGCAGGAATGTGGCGCGTCTTCTGCAATTGCGTCCCACGCACTTCTAGTCACTCTAATTGTTTATTATGTGGGTCTGAGCCCGAACTTTGCCTTTAAAAATGATACAATCGGTTATCGATGGGTTCCATCCAGATATGCGCCCAGTCGGAGTCATTTGATGTGCTATGTTGGCTTGATGGTGCAATACAGAACGAGTTGACAGTCTTGGTTGAATAAAATATATGATCATAGTTTTCGCCATCATGGTCTCTTCACCTTTCCATTTACGTCGTCATTAAGCCTTTCTGGCGCCAATTTTGGAAATGGACGTATTCCAGGTTGCGGTCGTGGTGGTTTCAAGAACGTTGTGGTTTTTACTGCTGGGCTATCAGGCTAATATCGTGTTCATAGAATGGCATACACTTTTTTCCCGCGCTTTTCGGTATTCCTAATTGGAAAATCATGTGTAGAATAGCATAAAGGTGATTCCGTTAATGCGTTTGACGAGCATTAAAATGACTCGCTAGGGTCAAGATGTAAATAATAAATCGGAGAGGATATCAGAGCTAACTCTTTAGTCCAATGGTCAACAATGGGTCGAAGATAGAACATCGTGGAAAAGAAGCTGGAACCAGCGCAAAAAGAATTGCCTAATCCAAGTGACAGCTATGTGATTCTTGAAAAAACATCCACTGCATCATCAAACTAATCAGGCAGACTGTGCAAAAGGTTCGCATATAATTGATTCGAAAGCTGGGGAATTTCAATTGTGAACTTTGGGCAGTTTGAGGAAAGCTGAATATGTAAGTAATATTACCAGTGAGGATTAGGTCGTTCAGAGTTGATCGCTTAGGTTGACATTTATTGAATGTTGATCAGCAGTAGTGGAATTGCGGTCAGCTGATAGCTTTTTTGAAAAATTGACAACAATGGTACTTCTATACTTTGGCTTTATTGTTCCGCAGAAACTGAATGCATCCTACGGAGCTCTCGCTTGTCCACGCGTTTTTAATTCGTCGTAACACCCGATCTAAGAAGATTTTCACTAGCGTGACTTTAGCTTATTTTCCACTTTCAATTCAGTCCGTACTTCTACGTTCATGACAGAGAGCACTTCGCTACTTTATCTTGGAGGGTGTCTTTCGCACAAGCTACTCTACTGGATC